TCAAAGGTCGTTACAATTAAACAAATTTGTAAATGTGAGCTATCGTTATAAACATTTTGAATTCTTGCCATGAAATTTCATAAAATTATTTTATATAAAGTTAAAAATTGACTAAAATCCTTGGTAATAAAAATCCAAAACCTGCCCCATTCATGATATAGGTATTGGGCATGCTAAACGACACAAGAGTACCGACAGAAGTACAGAATGATTACTATTAGACCTCGTTCCTTGACGAAAAAAGTCAACATTTATAAATATGATCTTTATCACTTTATTAATATTTCGCAGCCTAATTTGTCAGATAATTTCAGTGTAAAGAATTCTTTATTTCGTGACCGTCGGTTTGGTCAAGATGATTGTTGAAGTTAAGCACATCTGCCCAGATCTAGACTCTGGAATCTGCCACGGGCTTTTGTGCTTGCCTCGTGATCATTCGTGTGTGTAGTGACGAGTTGGGTGTTCCATTGCGAAATGACAGCCGAGGAATCCCCCAAGCTTGTACTATTGACCAGAGTGTTTGTAACGACCGGTACTTCTTGGGGGAGGGGTAAAATAATACTTTCCTTCGCTTGCTTTTTTATGCAATTGTTCAGCCAAAAACAACACGAGTTCACCCCAGCACGGCGAAGCATGAAGGACCAGGCATGCGGGCGCAGCATGATCAGGGAAGCATCGTCGCTAGCAGCGTATTGCGTATTACCTGTGTGTCTTCTTTCTAGGGAGCGCGTTTGTGTTTGTTTCGCTGAGCGTAACGCGGAGCGCCTCTTCCGCAGGCGACCTGCGCGTGTGCACGTACTGCAGCAAGGTGGTGCTGTCGTACCTGCAGAGCGCGGACATGAGCGCCGACCTGTCGGCCGACCTGCGCGCGCTCTCCGAGGACCTGCAGAGCCGTCTGGGCGTCGGCGCGTCGGCGGTGGGCGTCGGCGGGCTGCTGGCGTGCGCGGGGGCGGAGGGCCGGGCGGCGTGCGCGGACGGCGCGTCGGGGGCGGCGGCGGGCGGCGGCGGGGCGGGCGCGGGCGGGCGCGGGGCGCGCGGGGCGGCGGGGCGCGCGGGCGAGGCGGGCGGGGGGCGGCGCGCGGCGAGCGGCGGCGCGTCTCGCGCAGGAGGACCGCTTCGGGGCCGCGGCGCCGGCGCCCCCGCCTTCCCCGCCAGCGCCGCCCCGTCGCCCCCGCAGCGTCGGCGAGGAGCGCGCGCGGGCCGCCTTGGCGCCGCTCCACGTCGCTGGCGCGCGCTGCACGCGCAGCTGACGCGCTCGCGCCGGCGCGCGCTGCCGCTGCGCGCCCCGCCACGCCTCTACGGCTGAGCCTGCGCGCGGCGCGCCCGCACGCCCCCGCTTCAGCGGCGCCGACCTTCGTCGACTGGCTTGCGCGCGCGCGGCCACGCCGCGTCGCGGGGCCCAGGTGCGTCGCCCATCAGCGCTCTTGTTGGCTCTTGCCAGTTGCCTTGTATTATCTCGACAGCTAGAATACTTAACGACATAAAAAATCATATGTTTTAAGTGCTCAAGATGCATGTTTTGACCTTTAAGTGTCTAAAAAAGGAACCGTCCAGTTCACTGGACGTTCTTGGACAGAATAATGAGAGTGAAGCTGATACTCCTATTTATTCGTGCAAAATTGTGCTGAAGAGTTAACACACAATTTATGCAATGCTCTTTATTTCAGCATTAAAAATACGCACGGCTCGCGATTTTTATTCAACACAAGAAAATTTTTGAATCATTGAGCGAAAAAAAAAAAGTTTTTATCATTTACTTTTGTATCGACATTTTTGAATTATTTCGTTAACTCTATACTTTTTTAGGAAAACAACGTAAATTTAAAATCAAAGTTTATAAAATATAAAAAAATCATAGCAACTTACAAACCTATTTAAATGAGTAACACTTCGCCTGATAGGAACCTGTTTAAGGAGTAAAATGTGACAATTCCATAGCCTAAATCCGACGTCAACACTTCAGCTTCGTTTCTGTTCGCTAGGTCTTCGTTACTAAGTTATAAATCGGTATTATAATTTAACAATGGAACGACTTCACAAGTTTTTCACTTTGAAATAGTAATTATTTCCTACTTGTTGAAAAGTATGCGAAAAATATTGAACTTTTTTCATCAATGATGTCCCTATTATTGCAATAATGCTTTCAAAGGTATACGCTCGGATAATGAAGTGCAGGGCTGCAATATATGCCGTGTAAAATCCGTCCATCTACGAGAAGTAAAACATTAGTAAAGGAATGACCCCCAATCTAAATCGGCAAACAGTTTCCTCCTGGAGGTTTTTTGATTCGCCCCTCTGTAGAGAAAATTGCGAATTCCGGGAGACCACTTCTAGAAAAACATGAAAAACGGAGATAAATTCAGGGAATTGTAGAGAAATCTATAGAAGCAAGGGGAAAAAATGAACTTTTTATAAAACTAAATGTTATTCTCTAAAAAAAAGTCCATAATTACTTTTTGCTCATTTTGTCATGTTAAGATTTCCTTACTTTTGTAATAATAAAACGGAGAGCTGTCGAAATATTTAAAGTTGCTATATTAATTTTTCTTTAATTAATCTGAACTACTTCTACACATCATTTTCTCGAATTATTTTTTTTAAATGCTCTGTAAATTAGTAAAAAATGAGGGAAATATGTTTGAGGCAATCGGTGACAATCCTCCATTCGCACCCTGAATATGTCACGTAAATTATGCATAATGTCTGATGTGAGGTGTCGTGCTGGGCGCAGGCGGCGGCGCTGGCGCAGCGCTGCTGGACGGAGGCTTCCTGCAGAGCGTGTCTACGTCCCTCCTTCCTCCAGCCACACGGCCGTCGTCCGACTAGGGCGCCAGCGTCAACGGCGGCGGCGGCGGGCTTCTGCTTCTGCCGGGCGGGGACGTGTTCGAGAACGGGCCGGCGCCCTACCCCCGCTGCCCGCCCGCGCCCATGCCGCCGCCCTCGCCGCCGCCCGGCGGCAGCGGGCTGCGCGGGTGCGGCGGCGGGCGCGCCGGAAGCGGCGGCGGCCGAGGCGCCGGGCCGGCGGGGCGAAGGCGCACGGCCGCGCGAAGCTCCCGGCGACTCGGTGCTCCCAGGACGCCACTGGGCATCGCATGGACTCCCCGGCACAGGTGCCTCTTCGCTCCGCCTCTTGTCCATTGCTCCTTTGTACGTTGCTCTTGCACGTTGCTCCTGCATTCTTCCTTGCACCGTTGCTCTTGCACCGTTGCTCCCTTGCACCGTTGCTTCCTTGCAACCGTTGCTCCTTGCACGTTGCTCCGCACGTTGCCCCTTGCTCCTTCTTTGCATCCGTTGCCTCCATTGCAACCGGTTTGCTTCTGCACCGTTGCTCCCTGCACGTTGCTCCCTTGCATCCGTTGCTCCCTGCACCGTGCTCACTTGCACCGTTGCTCCCTTGCACCGTTGCTCCTTGCACCGTTGCTCCCTTCACCGTGCTCTTGCACCGTGCTTCCTTGCACGTTGCTCCTTGACCGTTGCTCCTTCACCGTTGTCCTTGCACCGTTGCTCCTGCACCGTTGCTCCTTGCACCGTTGCTCCCTTGCACCTGTTGCTCCCGTCTGCGTTGCGCCATTCTCCACCCATCATCCCACCACTTTGCCAGTAATTTACAAAGTACGATGAAAAATTCTTAAGTTCCGGAATGACCTCCTTTGCAGTTTTACAGAAAAAATGTATTACAGTCGTGTTGAAAGTAGTAAGATACTGTACTCTAGTTCCAAACGTTTCATACTTTCCCTGGTGTCAGTCACAGGAGCCTTTCTTTGGTGTCAGTCGGTCACACGTTTGACTTACTATTTCGTTGAAAATGCCACGACTATTTTTTTTCTGTACATTCAGCGAATAGTCAGGCCGATATTTTTTTGACTTCCTACGTAGTACGTGTGGCAAATACCGAAGGTAATTTTCTACAATGACGTTTTTGACGCTGGCTAGGCGTTTTTGTGAAACACTTATGCAGGATCCAGAATACATCAGAGTACGCACAATACGCTTTAGATTGTAGCACATGAAAATGACTGTTAAAACATATTTTCTTTAACATTCTGTTATTTGCAACAGTTCGCTCAAGGTACTACTCAATTCTTTTTGATAGTATTTGTTGTCAACAGAATTTTCTCTTCTTTTATGTTGGTTCAACATACATTCTTTGAATTCAAGGGATCCTCATGTATGTTAATTAGTAGATAAATGTGTACTAATGGAAAAATTATTGAGGGCTCTCCTTGGGACATTTTTTGTAAGCCTCACGACTGTCATTGATGCGTTTCCTTATGTACTAATTCATTTTTTTACTATTAAACTACACTCCAACACGGGGTAAGGGAAGAGAAATGCTTTTCCAGTGCTGTACACCAGATTGAAATTGTAGGATACTTAATATATGAATTCGAGGAGGCCATAAGGGGTTCGCTGCAGGGTCTTCCATATTTTTGGCATCATCACTCACTAATGTCATACTTAATCTTCATGTTCATTTGACCACATAATCCGTTATTACATAATCCTTCTGAACTGGAGTTCTGACTACGAAATAGTCAATGTTTCGTCTCATTACAATGTCCGCGTTCGATGAATGAATGGAGATAAATTAATAAACTAACAAACAAAATGGCTCATTCTATGAGTATGATTTTCAGTTAATTATTTGAATACTTTTTATTAAGATTTCATTTTGATTTGCCATGACTATACACATACTATAATATGCTCAATAAATCATTCATTAGAAACAGCAGACACAACAAGACAACAACAGAACGTTGGCAGTCTTTTGAATTTATTGTTCTTAACCGTCATTTGACTACCATTACGGCTTAACGGATTTTCCTCCTGTTGACCGTCGCTGGCGCTGCTGTGTCCAGACTCGGAGACCCGAGTGCCCGGCGTCGAGGACGGCGACGCGGTCGAGGGGACTCGGGCGACGGCACAGCGGCTCGCCCGCGGGCGACAGCGAGGCGGGCGGCGGTAGGGAGGCGAGGGCCGTGAGGACGACCTTCAGCCCTGCCCTCGTCGGCTCCACCTTCTCCTGGACCTCAACGTGGAGTCGAGCACGTGTCGCTGAGCCGGCCGCGCGCCAGCGCAGCGGCGTCGGCGTCGCCGTCACCCGCCGCGGTGTCGCCACCCGGCGCCGCTCGCCGCGAGTCCCGCCGGCGCCCCCGCCCCCGCCCGCGCGCGGCGGCCACACACCGACGCGCCGCGCTCTCCTGCCGAGGCGCTGCCGCCCGCGCTGTTCGACGCCAGGGCGACGCCTCTCGCACACCCGCCGCGCCGAGGAGGAGGCCGCGCGCGACCGCCTGCCAGTGAGTACCGCGGCCTACCACTAGCATGGGACTTTCGCTACCCTTAATTCAGTCGAAGGAGATGGAAATGTTAACTATAAAGGGCGCTCCTCGATCTGCAGGGAGGTTTTTGTGTTTGGAGGACGGTTTGGTTTTTTGGAGGGACGGTTTGGTTTTTTGGTAGGACGGTTTGGTTTTTTGGAGGGACCGGGTTTGGTTTTTTGGAGGACGGTTTGGTGTTTTTGGAAGGACGGTTTGGTTTTTTGGAGGGACGGTTGTTTTTTGGAGGGTTTTGTTTTTGGGACTCCTGCTTTGTTAGGATACTTTTTGACGGAACTAATGGTGTTTTTACTCTTAAATTTTCATTGTGTGTAGCTCGAAAAAATACAGTTGCAGATACCAGACCCGATGATACCGGTAACAGGTAACTTAATTTTTTCAGGAATTAAGCTAAGTGGTGTGTTTTTTATGGCGGAGTCCTCTGAATGTAATGTCGAAAAAGTACAAGAGTCAAATTCCACATTTATGGATCGTGATACTGGGAAATTGGTTGATGACAAAAGTCTGACTGTCGTTCTGGTCTGTGATAAACGATAGTGTTAACGTGAAGTTTTGCTTTGATTTAAAGTAATTTTAAGCATTTGTTCCTAAAAGTGGCTCTAATTTGTTCTTTAACGTGATAAAATGTGAAAATGTTTTATGTGAGTTTTGTGATAAAATATTTGCTATTGGAGTATCAACTTATTTTTCTTTTTCCGGAACCAAAGTGTTTTGGGTTTATCAGCCGTATCACCTCTTCTTATTTAAGATCACGCAGTTCATTAAGTTTTCAGAAGAAAGTGAGAAATTTAATATACGTGTAATGGATACAAAAGTTACATATTCATTAATGAACTCTTATTATTGCACTTTGCGGATGTGATAAAGCTGCTGAGCTTCTAAGTAGTTGACAAATTATGATTAGGGATTGACTACTGTCCTTTCACAGTAGATGTGATAGTGTCAGACCTCCATTCTATGAACGGACGGGTGATAAGGCAATGAAGGTGACGGGGGCTGAGCGTGGGCGTGGGGCGTGGCGCGCAGGGAGGCGTACGCGCAGCACGAGGCGGCGCTGCTGCGCCAGCTGCTGCGCGCGGGGGGCTGTCTGCGGCGTGGGAGAGGTGCTGCTGCCGTTGGTGGCGCCGCCGCCGACGTCGTGCGGCCCCCGCCGCCGCTGACTGCGCCGACATGGACGTGCGCAGGTAAGGGGCCTTCCCTTTTGCCCTGCTCCTACCCCTGCCCTGCCCCCGCCTGCCTTTGCCTCTGACCCTGCACTTGCCCTTGCTCTGCTTGGTCTTCTTCTGCCTTGCCCCCTCCCCTCCCTTGGCCCAGCCTTACAGCTGTCCCTGTTCTGCCCTCTGCCTCCCTCCCTTGCCTCTGCCCTGCCTCTGCCCTGCTCGCTTGCTCTGCCTTGCCTCTGCCCTTGCTCTCTGCCTTCTGCCTCTGCCCTTGCTCTGCCCTTGCACTCTGCCTTGCGCTTATACTCTGCCCTTGCCTTCTGCCCTTGCTCTGCCCTTGCCTCTGCCTGCCTCTGCCCTTGCCTCTGCCCTTGCCTCTGCCCTTGCCCCTCTGCCTTGCCTCTGCCCTTGCCTCTGCCTGCCTTGCCCTCTGCCTTGCCCTGCCTCTGCCCTTGCCCGCCTCATCTGCCCTGCCCTTGCTCTGCCTTTCAGCCCTTGCTCCGTCTTGCCTCGCCTCTGCCCTTGCCCTGCCTCTGCCCTTGCCTCTGCCCTTCTCACTCCTTGCTCCAGTCTCTGCCCTCCCCTCTGCCTCCACCCTAGTCCCTGCGGGCGTTGCAGCCCCTGCAACGTAGTGACCAACGTTACTGTGGATGTTTTTCAAATGCTCGTGCTTCTTGACGCGGCAACTACTAGTTTAGCAAACATAAATGCAGTTTTTTAACGCATATGACTTTCATTCGTCCATAAATTATTACTTCACGTAATACGTTGTTGCTCTTCACAATCGTGTTTGCATATTATTCTCACAGGCAATTTGGGAAACCCAAATTCTTTCTCTTCGTTTGTCTTTTGTCATGTTGTCTTATTTGATATTTACGTTGCGTTTGCTGCAACCTCAATATTTTTCTGAGGGGGTTTTATTTGTTGGAATCTCATTCCTTGCCTCAACTTTGCTACACTCGCAGATTTATAAAAGGAGAGATTTTATCAAGAAAAGGAAAACGCGAATGCAAAGAAAAAGTTTTTAGCTTAATATATTACGACGGCGAATTTAGAAGAATCGCTGTTGCGTGCCGATTTGCATTTCAGATACGACAGACTTAAAATAAGATATACAATTTATTTCACAATTATGACCACTTTGTGATTTTGAGTGGGATTTAATTTTATCTCGATAATTGAAAATAGGATAAAAAGGCTTCCTCGGTTTATTGCGAAATTAAATTTTCTTTTTGGGCTTTCACTTACAGGAGACTTGAATTTGAAGTGAATATCAGTTGCGCGTTCCCAAGACTTTTTGACATTTAATTATTAAAATATAACTTCGAAATGAAGGTTCTGAAAAAAACTTTTTAATATCTGCTGGAATTTACTGTGTACACAGTTGCTGTCTTATTCTGTCTTCTACTGTCCTCGTTTATTTCTTTTGATTATCGGTCATCCTTTACGCATGGAACCATATTTTTTTATTCATGTTAGTAATTTAAATAAGTAGATTCATTAGAAATTCGTTATCATATGAATATAATGGTTTGCTAGTAATTTTTGTAAGTAGACGTAGAATATTTAAGAGTGAGTTATACGTAGTTCTAATATTTCTGTGATCAGGTGCAGGCAATATGGCATCTTGATAAAAGTATCAAAACATTGAGCAACTTTTATGTAATCCTATTAAATATGTTAAGTAAGTAAGTGTCATGTTTTCTCCCCTCCTACGTTTCGTGTTAGTGTAATAGTGTTGAGTTTCATTGTTTTGTTTAAATGTGTTTCGAGCTACACTTGTATTGCTGTTCTCAAATGATCTTTTCTTTGAATTTCATTACACACGATATCTATCACATATTTTCAACTTCATTATTTTCCTTCAAGTATTCCTGGATATTATTCGCAAGATGTTTGTAAGAGTTTAACTTTCGAACATCATTTTCAATACAACTGAATGTAAATTACTCTCATCTGGATTAGGTTTTTGGATTAGAATTTTTGATTAGACGGCAAGTTTCCCTGATCCATTGAGCAAATGCTGAGATGACTTCTTAGTTTGCTTCTGGACATAAATGTAGCTTCACTATGCGCACGTTTTAATGAACTCAGCCTTTATTGTAATGGTAGGAGAAGATCTATTACTATTTTGTTAGTAATCCAAAAAATTTAAAATACGCAATTCATTTATCGATGCAAATAACTTTTCTATACTCGGATGGCAAAATGTCTGTTTTAAAAGATTGCGAATTTCGCTTTTTAAAGCTTTTTTTAATCATTCAGTTATGTATAATTAAAATGTTTGGAAGAGATTCTGGGGCTCAAGAAAACGTGAGCACGTTACTTCTCCCCCACACATGACATAAAGTTTTTACTGTTTTGTGACTACTAAATCGAATCAGTCATTCTTATTATCTTGATGTATACTGGACGTCTCGGAATATTTGTTACAAATTTCCAGGGCATATAGAGGGGTCGAAGATCAGATATTGGCAATGAACAGATGGTGGGAAATTTCATTTAACAATGACACCATATTTGACTTTCACCTTTGATTAGTAATTGAAAACACCTGAAGTTCTGCTGCATGTCAGGTCCTGACGCAGTAAAATGTACCTGCGCAACACTAGTGCATAATGAGGAGCCTTCCAATCAGGGGCTTCACATGCTATTAAATCGATAATTATTTTATATTTAAATTTGCATCTCATGGTCGTGTGCAAAAAGTTATCATCGTTGACTCCCTTGCATGTTTTAGTATTTTGTTACATTTATTTTCATGCGTTTGAAACAAACACCTTGTTCCTCGTATTTTTTACAAGTTATTTTTGTTTCAAGATTTTTTTTATGTCCTATCCTCAGCATATGTTTTCATCATTATTCCGTACAGATTCCAAATTGACTTCTCATCTATCAGCTTACTCTAGATACTTCAATATTCACTATTGGCTAACACTTCCACCTGTTGATTTATGTATGAATTGTATTTGAAAGAGTTGAATGTCATTTGTTACGCACCAGTGACTCTTTTACTCTGTGGCATGTATTAACAGATGGCGAATCCCTCAATTTTAAGCTTCAGGGGCTAACTCTTCACGTGGTGTAATGCTGTCTCCCTGTATCTCTCTGTTACAATACTTCAGTTATGTAGTGTTAGCTAATAACATACTTAACAAACATGGATTCTTTATTGCTCCATCCTGGTGTATTTCCCTGCCCTTCTATTGAGTGCTCGACTTCTTAGCTACCAAAGGCAAACCATTTATCACTGTTCTTTTCCATTAAAAAAAGTTGGGCTCTTCATTCTTACGCAACAGAGACATTTATTCATCACTATCCGTTCTAGTATCAATACTTGGGTTCCTCATTCTTACGCACCAGTGACAAACTTTTCATCGCTGTCCCTTCTATGAACAAGCGTTGTGCTCTTCATTCTTTCACCCACAGTGGCAAACTTTTCATCACTGTCCCTTCTATTAACAAGCGTTGTGCTCTTCATTCTTTCGCCCCAGTGGCAAACTTTTCTCACAGTGTCGTCTATGACCAGGTGTTGGGTACTTCATTGCGACTGCCCCGCGGGCAACTCCTCTCCCCAGCGCTGTGCCTCCCCTGCCGCACAGGTACGTGCAGTTCAAGAAGGTGAGCGGCGGAGCGCGCGCCGACTGCCGGCTGGTGCGCGGGCTGGTGTGCACCAAGAACGTGTCGCACCGCGCCATGCCGCGCCGCATCGCGCACCCGCGCATCCTGTGCGTGGGCTGCGCCGTGGCCTTCCAGCGCGTCGAGGGCCGCCTGCAGTCGCTCGAGCCGCTGCTGCTGGGCGAGCGGGAGTACCTGCGCAACGTGGTGAGTAGCGGCACTCGTAAAGATAAATTGTCCGCCTCCGCGGCGCAGCTGCGAGCGCTTCGCCCGACACGATGCGACCTTCCACAGGGCGAAATGCGCTGACCGGCTTAGGTGGCTCAGGGCATCAATTGCATGTCCCTGCAACGCCTCTGTACGGAGGATCATAATTTTCGAGACCAAACACGGTGGCCGGAGTTTCGACAGTTGAGAGCGCTGTCTGGAGGAGAATTTCAATGGCCGGGTGCTCTGATCGGTGGTTTCTCAGATCAATATCAGGCGAATGCCGGAGCAGTTCCGTAACTAACGGGCCAAGAACCGCCCGCGATCTTTCCTTCATTGTTCATTCTTTCATTGTCCTATCCTCACCCCCTACACACACTTACACTGACATGTACTACACTACTACACATACGGGGAGAAGGCGTGGGCCTCGGTCAATATTCACGTTTTGGGGATGCTCAGTGATTTCAATCACCCCTTTTACTCTCCTCAATCTCCAGTGGTATTCCTTGACCAGGTGGTAGATGTTGACAAAAAGAATGGCTTGGCAAGTTTTCTTTGCGTGGTCGGCTACGAGCGAGTTATTTACATAATTATTCTTGTAATGGGGAAAGTTCCGGAGGCGTTCCTCAATTGTTGGGCAGAATTGTGTGTATGTATTTGGCATCGTTGAGGCATAATTATTACCATTATCTTGTATTTTGCAATTAACATCAAAAGGATAAAAACATATGATTGGCTATATAGTGTTTTAATTATTTTTTCGCTTAGTTAAATAAATTGGCTCATTAATTCGATGAAAAATCGCATACTATCTCTATGTTAATAGCATTCGCGCAATTGAAACTCCACACCTTCCTATCATAATTCAATAAAAAAATAAGACATCGTTTAATAAACTGTAATAAAGACGTAGCCAAGGTATTTTCAGTCGGTCATGAAACATGCTACCAAAATGTGCATCACAGATTTCCTATCTATAACTATTTATAAACAATGAATTAATAAAACTAAATTGACGAAATAAACGTTAAGTTAGCTGACAAATGAAATTACATAAAATATTTAACGTGAATAAATTGAATGTTTTACGTGTATGGTCTTTATTTACATGGGAAGTAATGTTTTCATGACCTCGTCAGGTTCTTCTAATATTTTACCCGCACCAACCCGCATTTATTCAGTACCTTCCATATGCGAATATTTCTTGCAAATACTAACGCAACACCTACTAAAGTAGATATTTTTCAGGAGCAATATGATGTCTTCAAATGAACAAGTATACCTCCAGTGGTAAAGATTTGCATCAATTTCTCAAAAAATAAATTATTGTTAAATAGAAACGAAACAATATTGAAAGTAACATGTGTATAAAGGGGTATAATTGCATTCGTGGTATATAAGAAAAGTAGTTCCTATCGTCGCTCGTTTTCTTGAACATGCCACTCGTGCAATTAAACCCTTCTTTATCCACTAGTTTCGTTAATTACAAAAATTAGATAAAATATTTCGACATTGGCAATTGTCGTAAAAACAGTTTCACTATTATTCGTTTAGTCATAAAATATTCTACGGCGTACATTTCTGTATAACTAAAGTACTACAGTGTCTACTTCGACACAAGAATAACAGACACTCAATTCAAGTATTGATTTAGATTTAGATTTAGATTTATTCAGTCAAAAAACAGTAAAACTATTTATGCCGTATTGTTTTATTGATGTTTCTGCATTGAAAAAATGGAACAGATTGTGTAATGGGGACGTAAATTTAGAGCAAATGGTGTGAAAAATACCCTCATGGGACCCTCACACATTTTTAACTTACAGAAGTTTACTATTCTCCAATTATTTCATATAATTTTACTAAATTAATTGTTTTTATATATTTTTCTTAATTTCAAATTACGTATTTTTCACATTTCTTTTGTTGTTGTTTTTCAGCAAATATCTCGATATTGATTTCCAGAGCATTTCTGTTTCACATTCGTCTTCATTTTATCGTAAATCTTTTCGTGTCGTTTTGTAAACTACCATCAGCTTGTTTACAGAGTGAAATGAATAAACCAGAAACGTTTCTATCCGCAGCCTTCAAAACGGATGATTGATCAGGAACTTATCTTCAGTCGAAATGAACTGTATAAAGCTTCCTTTATTTGCTTCCAAGCGATTGAATCACTCTCCTTTTCATCCGCTACTTCTCGAACCACGGCTGTTCTCACCTCGTTTCCGGAAAGCGAAAAGGCTTGTGAATGTCTTTATTCACGCGAGGAATGCGATATTCCTTTTGTGCTATTGGAAAGCCCCAATAAGAATTTACGGACTTTCGATACAGGTTTCAACCATAAAGTTACATACTAAATTTTTCGTATAGGAGCCGCCGAACTTCACCCCACAAATCAACCTCTCATTTTATAACATTTCTTTGTGATTAGTATTCTATGTGAGGTCAAGGATCTGCTGTCTTTCAAGCTAGATATTTCGATGTTATGTAATCTCACAGACATATTTATCCAATTTCTGAAGTGGCCGCACAGGCGCGACCACTCACATCCGGTTCAGTTCGCCCTCGTTTAATTAGTTCGAATTTAGAAATTTCCTTTGATTACTTGTGCATTGGAGTAGTGAGAATTCCCAGAATATTATATCTATTCGTAGCAGTGAAAATCCTGGTTATGAGCGTCCAGTAATGCCCTGCAAGACTATTGGCCTCAAGCCTATTATTATCAAAAATTACTCGATCTAGTAGCTGATATTTTGGGTGGCTCATCTTGTGGGAACAATGCACATTGAAATTCTGGTATATTTTATGCTATAAAAATAATATACATCGGTTTTAGGTTCCAATGTATTGAAATACGAAAATAATAAAATCCAAATGGAAAAAGAGAGAATGGATTGTTGTCACACCTGTGAAAGGAGGATATTCTGTAATGTTGGATTTAAAAAGGATATTCTGTAATGTTGGATTTAAAAACTAATTCTATGTTCGTGTAGTAAATGTTCTTAATTCGAGGGGAAACCACGAAAACCCGAGTCAGGATACCGCTCGCGAATCGAACCCGGGCCTCCCATTTTCGTTTTCAGCGCTCTACGCCCTAAACTTGTTTTCTTAGTATTTTATTATTATTATTAATATTATTATTATTAATATTATTATTATTATTAATATTATTGCGGTTAAATACATTGCATTATCAAATACACACTATAAACATTTCCAACGTGCCTTTTTGTAGTGAAGTGCAAGTGTTGTGAGGGTATAATTCTTTTCAATTGTGATATTTGCAAAGGCCAGGTTGCATTGACCTAGCTGCAGAAATAATGAATTTTTGTGTGTGTGTGTGTGTGTGTGCGTGGTAGGTGGCGCGGCTGGCGGCGCTGCGGCCGTCGCTGGTGCTGGTGGCGCGCGGGGTGGCGCGGCCGGCGCAGGAGCTGCTGCTGGCGGCCGGCGTGGCGCTGGCGCTCAACGTGAAGGCGAGCGTGCTGGCGCGGGTGGCGCGCTGCACGGGCGCCGACGTGCTGGACAGCGTGGACGCGCACGTGGCGCGGCCGCGCCTCGGCACGTGCCGCCTCTTCTCGCTGCACACGTTCCGGCGCGGCCCCCACGACGCCGACAAGACGCTGCTCTTCCTCGAGGGGTGAGTCCTCGTGGCGCGGCAGGTCCAAGGCTACGTCGAATTCAGACGCTGTTGGGAGGAGACGTATAGCGGCCGGCTGCTCTGATCGGTAGTTTTCCGTGGTTTCTCCGATCAACACCAGGCGAATCCCGGGGCAGTAATCTAACCAACGGGCCAAGGATTGCGCGCCTTCTTTTCTCTTCCTTGTCATATTATCACTCCTTATTCACACACACACACACACACCACTACTCTACCACACATGCCGAGAGACCGGTCGGGAACTAAGAGCGCACCGCTTAGGGAAAACCCCGCAAGCCGATGCCAGATTTTGCTATCCAGCGGGGAAATATCACACCCACTACCACATCCACCACCACCACCCGCAATGAAACATGCACTAAATTTAAGGGACTAATTGAAGATACGGCATAAGTTGACGCTCCCGAAAACACCAATCATTCAATCAATTCGACCGTGCGAGCAGGAAGTTCCCATATAATTGAAAGTCTAAGGACATTGTCACATTAAGCCATACTAGCCACAACAGCCATCCCCGTGTTCATAAATGATAATATCTCGATTTTGGGTTTTGATATTTTTTTATTGCAAAAGCTTTTCATAAAATATATAAACAAGTCATTTAGCAATGAGATAATCTACATTTTCATCTAAATCGAGATGTCAACATTTACGAAAAGTGGAGGTGCCTGCTGTAGATGGTGTATTTTATCTCATTACTCCCCCCTCCAAACCCCTTCTATTATCGACTACCGCCATCGATTAGTGTTTTTAATACGTCGAGGCATGGAGTCTGGAGCTCTCGATTAGAATATCGGGTAGTTCGTAATTGGGCTCTTCGATATGAGAGTCTGCCTAATTTAGGGATATGAGTTATTGGGATTCACTTAAATGGCTTCCTTTTATATTATTGATTTAAATTGTCGTGGTAGAACACGTTTAATTTGAAACGTGACGAATTTACTTTGATTTCTTGAAATCTGTATATTAGAATTCAATCTGATTTGTCTCGATACGAAGCAATTTTCTTAGTTTTGAGTTACGAGACGCATGATGTTAGGCTTGCTTTCCGTGAACACTTAATTTGTATTCGCGTGCTTCAAGAATGTTCACAAATTGCTGATATTATCCAGCCATTTGCGGGATACAATGGCCACTTGTATGAGTAAATACCGGGCATGGATGCATCTGACAATCCCTCCTTAGAGCAAAATTTTCCTAAGCCTCTGTGCAATGGTGCTTCGTACACGTCGTCATTACTTTCTCGAATACGTAGTAATAGTATGTATACGGAATAATAAAGTAAAGAAAAGCATGCATAAAATGACGGTAGAGGAATTGGTGCTAGTCTCATTTCCGGTGACTGTCTTTATTTTCGAAAACTTATTATATTTTAACATTTCAAAACTACTAAATTGGAGATGAGAGATTTTTGCCCTTAAAAATACGCTGAAAAGAATCAGCTCTTTAAGAGTCATGTACCTTTTTTGGAAAAACAACAACAACAACAACAACAACAACAACAACAACAACAACAACAACAAAAACACGCAGGTTTGAGGCAATTTATGTTTGAAAGTTAGGCAGTTGATAAAATAACATTTTTCTGAAAAATCACTTCATTTTTTTCATGGATTGAACAAGGAACTGTTAAACGAATGGTGCAGGTGTCATTTTCGTTGAACTTACTGAATTTTTGAAGATTGCAAATTTATAAACAATGCTATAAAGTATTTGCTGCTGTGGCACCACTAGTTTTCCGAGCTGAAAATCTCAGGTTCAGATACGGCATTTAAAAGCTCCACACATCTATCATCGAGTCAATTTGGTGGTGGTTGTGTCCTTTTTTTTTGTCTAAAAAAAAGACTAAAATCTGACAGTTATCTTCAGTTGCAATTATATGCGCCAACAAATTCCACATCAATACATACGAAAGAAGCAAAGTAAATTAAAGGCGAAAATTGGGACTAGTTTGTAACTTTGTGTATAGCAACAAACCAATTTCAACGAAGTTAAACTGCGGATTGGAGTAATACTTCAATCAAAATCACCATTGAATGTGTTCCGGTTTGGATACATCTGGATACGGCTATTAGTACTGCTACAAGAGTTTAAAAATCCGTAGCTGTAATGAAGGCAGTAAACACACTACTGTAGAAATTGCACTTGTAGTATGTCCTGACAAAAAAAGAAGCGTATTACATTAGAATACATACTGTTGTTGAGACAATTAAAAAAAACAAATATTGAAATTCACGCATGGTAGCGACTGTCAAGTTTCGTGAACATGAATTTTTTAAAAATCTGAAATATGTTGGAAACCGTTTGATTGTATTTCAGAAAAAATACCAATCTTCCCTGTTCGTTGTATAATTATCACGGAAGTATGTTTTGAAATACGTCCAGGGAACACAACTCCAGAGCGAGTGATACGAGATTTATTGATTGCTGGTTCTACAGAAAGAAACTTGGCAGCGAATGAATGAGGGATGAGAAGGAGGCGCAGTTCGCAACTGAACCGTAGCCATAACACTGTGGCAGTTTGCCCGAAACCCCGCCGCTTGAAAAATACATGGTCTCGCCAAAAAGGAGATAAAAGTCTGGAGTGAAAGGCATCGCGTTGAGAGTGATGCTGAGAGTTTTGGAGAACGCGTTAGTCACAAGTCGCAGCTAAGAGGGAGGTTGTTTCAAAGAATTACCTAGATTGGTATCTTCACGAGTTCTCAGTTGAAAATCATAAGGTTTATTGAATGAAATCTACTTTCAAACAATTTCGGACGTAATAGGTTCTCTTTAAGGGTTTTTTCATGATCTTTGGTTATATTTGTGTGAAAATATTTTCAATAAAATATTATACATGTTACAAACTTTTAGGGCACATAGAAGGAAAATAAACATTTTTTCCAATGAACTTTAGAGTTGGAAATTTCATGTAAAGGAGTTACATCACGTGTAACCTTATTTTCTCGATTTTTCGGCAAATCCTTATTCACAGCTTTCAGTAGGTCGTGTTATGAAGCAGCCACGATATTTCATGTACCTATGAAGCATCGTGCATACGGTGTTGATAAGGATCGGTGACACGTATAAATAAATATAATATATATGCAATTTCCAATTGTATATTAATTGGCACAAAGTAATAAATTGCGATGATATGATCTAGACGTATGTAACATTGATTATGAGACACTTTTGTATTTTTAAATTGCTTTACTACAGGCACTGCCATGTAGTATGTACTGAACTTCCAAAACTTACTGGGTTGCAGAACTGGGTGACTTTGGAAAACTTTTGTGGACAGTTATTGTAAGTTTCTCCTTCCCTTCATAAAAAAATGGAAAGAAACCTTTGATATACAGGTTCAATAATTAGTCGAGCAACCTGCGTATGTCAGTTTGTGCGTCAGCTATGGTTAGCCAGTCCATCATTCGGAACAAATGAGGTGACATTCGACGCAATTCGGTCTACAGATGGGGGGATTGACTATTTGTTTCGGATCCATCCTTAACATTTCGAAACAAACCATTTTTAGAAACCTACAGATAGGATAAATTGCATATTCGATTATTGGAGAGACAATTGATGAACACTATGTGTAGCCGGATACTTTAGGAATATTCTGGAAGAATTTTAAAAAATGATTTTTGTTTCAAGATTTCAATTGCCATTCTGAAACGCTTTTAATTACAGTACTCCCTTTCTGCCATTACAAAAAATCGTCATGACTTGATTAAGCAGAGTAACGATAAGCAAATCCACTTTTGTAATGTAAAAATATTAATTTAAAAAATAATTCTAGTGTTTGTTCATTTCCCCAAAAGAACGCAATTTACACTTCACAGGGAAAATGTACTATTGAAAGAAAGGCAGGTGCACGTAGCGATAATTACACGGACGATAAAATTTGACGATTTGTTGCTGATGGACCGCTGAACGGGTTAAAGGTTGAACCAGTTCTCTCTTAGCAATGGACACTCAGCGCATGAGTGAAAGAGAGAAAGTAAATTATTTTATCATTATTTCAAATGTAACACTTGTAAAATAAATAATATAATCTAGAATGTTGTTTCTTAGAAGGGAGCAACGTTTTTATCCCCTGTCTAAGTTAACAACTAAAAGTAAAGTTTGAAACTATATGTCATTCCCCATTCAGAAAATTCAGATTCATATTTCAGTTACAATATTAGAAAACATTTCAAAAAATTGTATTTACTTGAAGTTTTCTAATGACACTTGAAGACATTTTCTATGGCAAGAGAGAAAAAATTAAAAAAAGTACGTCTGAAAAAAAACTAAATTTTTTGTTGTTGCCAAAGTGGAAGGAATGTTTTAATTCATTTGCTTGGATTTTATTGCTTGTTCTGGAGACATTGAGAATTTATGTTCAAAATACAATTTTACGGAACAGAAGTAGGTAAAACACTTATACTTTCATTTAAAGAGCAAATGACGACATAAACGTACTGTCCAGTAATATGATGTGAAATTGACAGAGAGCTTTAGGTTTCGTGTCTCGACGGTCGCAGATTTTCGATGTGGTTACATACCTGGGTCGAGTCCAACCGCTGTCTGGTGGAGAATTATAACGGACCAATGCTTTGATTGGTAGTTTCCCCTGGTTTCTCCGCACAACACCTGGCGAATGCTGGAGTAGAAACCTAGCAAAAGGGCCACGGACCACGTGCGATCTTGTGTTCTACTTTCTTGTCTAATTATCACCTCTTACTTACACCCACCTACACGTATATGCAGCACACTGCCATACATGTCGGGAGCTTAGAGCTTGTCCCGGCTGGGGCGGTGTCCGATGAGAAATGCCTTGTTGGGGGAAAACCCCGCCATCCGACA